CTGCCCCTGCTTTCAGTGTAGCTTTTGCTGTTTTATCCCTCTCTTTGCCTTTCCCTGATATCCTAGAGAGATGGCTGCATAGCATGGGGTACAGCAGGCCATTGCTGAATGCTCTGTGTAGGACAAGGGAATGAATCCATTCTGCTGTCCCTGGCAAACCTCTAAGGAGAGCATGCCTGGGGCAATGGATGCTGGTAGGGCTTAGGTACATGAAAGGAAGTGGATTTTCAGAAGTGTTTAGCATAAACAGTCAGGGCCAGATTTTCAAGCAAGTTTGGCTGCTAGCAACTTTTGCAACTTTTTTTGAAAAAGGAGGATCTCACTCAAATCACAATGGGAACTACATGCTGAGGGCTCTGCATAGAATTGCCCTCTTCGTGCCTAAATGAGAGGTGAGCTCATCTGAAAGCTCAACTCCAGATGTGGGGCTGAATGCTTGAAAATTTAACCCGGATCTCCTTTGAAAATCTGGTTCTGTGTTGGAACATCTGTCACTGAAATGGTAATCAGACTATTATCCATGTACAATTTTACCATTTACATATTCTAATGACTCTTGACTCTTTCAAACAACTTTGAGAATGTATTTTCTTCAGGCACGATGGGTATGTTTCCAAAGGCAAAACCTAGCTCAGATGTTCAAGCTTTCATATTTCCTGTGACCTTTACAAACCAATGAGGTGCTGGTGTTTGGGGGTCAAACTGGGCACCCTCTTGTTTGCCGATGGGGAACATGGAGGTGAGAAGGAGCTGTGAGGGATGTCTTGGTGCATTCCCTGCTCCCGGGAAGCTGACTCACCCAACACATTGGGGCCAGGGGCTGGGCTTTGCCAAAGCCTGCCAGGGTCATCTTCAGTTTCCCCAGGCTCCCACATGGAAAGAGACTGATGTTCATTTGGTGCTGGGAGGAGGAGTGACTGTAGAAGGAGTGGGGGAGATTAGTCTCATTTACTCATCTCTAATGAGTTTTCACGAATCCCTCCCCTCCCTGCATGTATCAGCGGGCATAATATCAGGCAACAAAGAGAATAAACTAGTTCCTGGAATCTCCTCCCTGTGCATTTTCTCTGGATGGGGCCTTATATCCTAGAGGCAGGCTGGGCCTTGTGCTGGCAGTAAATGAGGAAAGTCATCACATTGCCTTCCTGAGATATCTGCTGGAAACCACAGGCAGGGCTGTCTTTTTGTTATATTCTACAAACTGCTGAAAAACCCAAAGGCATTCGGCTGCATGAAGAGGATTTGCATACACGTGTTTGTTTGTATAGTTGGCGGTCTCCTTTGTTTGCACAAAACAAAATTAGCATATACGAGTCACTCATCAAATGCACACCTTTATGCAAAACTGGTGTGTAAATTCCAGCATAGCAGAGGCTAGGGAAATACGGCACAACTTTCATTACTGGCCAGGTTGGACACAGGGAAGTCCAATACTCAGAGGCCAGTTGGTATTTTCTGAGCTGACAGTTCACAAATAGAGGTTTTTTATTTATAAATTGAAAAGAATATTACATCTGGAAGTCATTGAAATATAAACATTAGGCACTCTAATGCCATTTTTATAGTCACTTTTAACCACACTTTAGAACGAATGATATGTCTTGCTTCTGCTTAGCTATAAAATAAAAACAAAATGTGAACATATGCCAATTCTATATGCTTCTTATTGCCCTACTCAGTCTCTGTATTAGCTTCTTTAAGCGTGCAATTTCATTCATTTTATTGCTTCTTTCACAGTTTATCTTCAAACCAACGGCAAAAGTCCCATCAGCGTTACTGTGTTTCTTGTGTTCACGTGCATTTACCTGCATTTGGCTCTGACCTGCCAGTCAGGTGCACAGATCTCCACCTCACCACTTGTGTGACACCCCATCACCTCCAGTGGGGCACTGTGCCATGACATCAGCACCTCCTCCTGCAAATGGGTCTCCAGAGAGCATTTGCAAGGGGTAGTGCATGTTACTGTCGGCTCCAGTGTTGTTGGATATTGCCTTGATATAGCCATGGCACCAGACCTTGCTCCAGAAGCTGTTTTCCTGTTTTAGATGAGGTCTTCATCATATCTCTTCCCTGACTTGAGCCTGAAACAGTTGCTTACTGTTGTGTACTACCGTACAACTAAAACTTAGTTGTGAATGGGCTAGAACTTCTTATAAACCACTATATCAGTGTGTTTCTTCAGCTTTCAATGAAAGAAAAAAAAATAAAATAACAATTTACTTGTGTAGTACAACAGAAGACAATGGAAGACGATAATTGAAATGAAGCTCTGCATAAGGCAATACAAAAGCAAAAGGAATTTATAGGCAGTCTTCAAAATGTGTTAACAGCAAACAGCTAATTAATTTCAAGTTATCACAGGTCCAAATAGCTTAAAGCTAATATTCATATTTGTACAGCTTTCTCTGAAGTGGTATTATTATTCCTTGATGGCTATTGTTAATAAACAAACAAAGCCTGATATTAGTCACAGAATCAGTGCATGGCTGCTTCAGAAAACAAAGTCTGCCAAGTACACTGCATGCAATAATAAGGACCTGGGGCATTTTTCTTTCATGGGAGGGAGTGCTACCATTCACGTTTTGCTTTTGTCTGACACAAACTGTCGCTTGCCTGCCATTTCCACCTGAGCAGCATTTACCGTGTGGTTTGAATAATGTAACTTGGTCACTTATGCTGACAGGGTGTCAGAAAATATTGGAAAAACCGATGCCTTTTGATAGGGTTTTATAGAGAGACCTGGCCAACACAGATACAGAGGCTGAAGCAATATTTTGAAGTTAATGAGACAGCACAAGAGAAAAGAATTATAGTTCAACAGCATTTTACAGGAGGAAACACACAGTTTGCTGGGTGCTTTGAACGTTTCCCAGGGCCCTGCTAACACAAGATTTGCACAAATCATAACATTTCTATAAACTTCAGCCTCTTGTTATTGATGAGCAGTTCAGAAAATAAATCAACATGAAGCTGAAGCCATTAAGAAAACCATCAGTGTACCACAGTTTTAAAGTGCAGATTAGCACAGGGAAGCCAGGCTGAAAAACTGGTGTTGGTAAATGTGTTAGGCAGGTCTCACATCATACCAAAACCTTGGAAGTTCAGTACATGTGGAAACAGTAGTAAAAAGTGCAGTAGTATGAGAGAGCAGAGACAGAAGGATGAAGCATAAAAATGATGCGACCAGCAAAAGGTTAGAGGCAAGAATCCCCGTGGGCAGATACTTATTGATCACAAGAAAAATATCTGTACTTTTCTTGAATGCAGACTTAGAGACAATTAAAATAGATGGTGAAGGAGCAAGAGCTAAGGCACTGCTTTTCTGAGGAAAAGAAAAAGCCAGAAAAGGGAGTATACCCAAGAGGAGAATGAGAACAAAAGGAGAACACTTGCAAGGGAAGATACAGATGATATTGGAGTTGGCTGACAACTTTTCAGTCAACCATATTTTTTTTTTTAAATGTATTTTTCTAATTATGTTATATATTACCCTGTGCACATTTTCCTAGAAAAGTTTATTTTAATACCACTTCCTTAATTAAAAACATGCTCTGTCTTCTCCCAGCCAAAATGAAACACATTTTTTAGCAACTAATTATTCCTTTGAGGTGGAGTGACTAGAAAGAGGGAAAGTCCATGAGGAGCATGGCAGAGAGAAAGCACCTTTGCTGAAAATTTTTCCAACATTGTTGATTCTCCATGGTCAATCATAATAGAAAGTTAAGAGAAATATTTTCCTTACAAAAGAAAGCAAAAGCTATTTATAAATGTTAAGCTCTTTTAGGGTTTAAGAAATGCTTTTAAGCTAAAAAAAATAATTGAAGTTTTCAAAGGCAGTGTTTGTGGTATGTCAATCATATGTGTGAAGACAGATATACTTTCATACATTTCCTCTGCTACACACATGGTTGTGTATCTTATGTGCAGAGAGGGCATGAACCATTTTATATCCATTTTTCATAAGTCTAAGTAGACAGACTAGAGAAAAAACAGAGGAGAGAGAATCACACTCAGGAGTTATTCACATTCATCCTTCTCATTTAGGGTAGTAAACCAATACTGATGAATATATCCTATTTCTAAAGCCATGTAATGGCAGAATAATTTCTGTTTGACCGGTGATGGAGAACACCACAATAACTTATTTGTCTGCTCTGCACACAAGTGAGAAGCAAACCGTAGCTATCTGAAGCCATAAATGGTTCTCAGACTTCAGCAAGTTTGGCACTCTGTTATGGTGCTTCAGTAACTCTTGCTGCTCAACAGCTACACAAATAGCCTAAATGCAAACATGTTACATAATCAGGTATCTGTGTACTCAGAGATACCAGAGCCTACAAATATATACTTTGATAAAGGAGGGTTCATGGTCCAAATATTCATTCTTATAGAAGTGTATTAAATGAAGTTGGAAATGAAGAAATAAGCATGTGACCATGGCAGCAAATTGCCGCAAACAAACGCGGCCTTGAATATACATAAACACGTGGACGTGCATGTCTTCCAAAACAGGTCTCAGCCCGTGCTTCACAAAAGGAACAGCCCCCAGAGGGCAAGGAAGAGATATCCAAAGACACACTAAGAGCTTTTTACAGCGGTAAAATCTTTGGGCTGATGTAGAAGTGCAGCAGAAATGATGAGGCCATACTTGTGCTAGAGGATATAACAAATGACCACATAGGAATGGATGGAAATTTTCAGTGGGAGATTTGTACTGAGAGCCACAGAGCAACTTCTGTTGTATTTCAAAGCTCTCCTTATGACACTATCTGATAAATTAGAGGCAAGTCTTTATTAATCATTTCCTATCTTCAGGTGATATTTAAACTGAAATGAAGGCCTGTCCTGTGCTGTTCTTCCAACAAATAAATGTTCATACTAGCAGAAATACACAGTCTCAGCACCTGCTTTTGAGTAACAGAATAAGCACCATGAATTTCCGTGCATCCTTAGATATCAATTTTATTCACATTAGATTATTGAAGTGTCTCCTACTGATAAGCAGACTTAGAATATTAAAAGAGTGCAAGCTAAATACAAATATAAATAAAGAGGATGCCTGCATACACACACTGATTTCAAAGGTGAATCTTTTAAGAAGTGCTGTGGATCATGGACATTTCATTGATGTTTAAAAAACACAGAGATTGTAAGAGAAACAGAAGAGCTATTCATGCTGCATCTGTTAACACACGCAATGTTGCAGCCATAATCAGGATGTAGGAAGTTCTGTGGTTCTCAAGTAACATGGCTACAGCACAGACAGCCTTTACCCAAATGCAGCATGTCAGAAAATGGCCACTGACAATCTGAAATAACTATTTTTCCAAAACCAGCATGCAACTCGTAGGTTAAGCACTGTACCGGCTGCTTCCATTTCCCTTTTTCACCACCCCATGAACATACAGAAATCTATATGTCTATTCCTTTCCCAGGCTGGTTTATTGAACAACATAAAATAAGCACAAATAATATATATGGTTTTTTCCTTTCACACACAGAGACAAAAAACCTTTCTCAGTTCATTGTAACTCATATTTCTTCTCTCTTGAATAGCAGTGAGCTGAAGAGAACAAGAAAGTGTATTTTTTCCTTGTTTCTGCTTGGCTTTTCTCTGGACCCAGTAAATCCATTTAATCCTTTTCTGGGCTCAAAGGCTTCTTTGGCTTTTATATCCGGGCTTCTGGCTCCAAGACATTTAGCCTCAGGGCACTGGCTGAGGGTTTTCCACGTTATATGACCCTTGGCTTCCTGTTCTTTGCAGCAAAAGGCATCCCAATTCCAGGGGAGTTCTGCCAGCTTCCACGGTGAGCCCAGCTGGAGCTGCAGGGAGGAAAGGGCAGGGGTCAGACACCTCTATCCTGCTGCCTCTGGGATTGCCCACGTGGTACTCATAGGTCAGGGAGGCACTATGGCATCCTGGCAAGGCCTTGAGCATCTCTGTCTCCTGGATGACAAGGTGGCTTTCAATGGTGAGGAGTGGATCACTCACAGTTGGCCTCTGGACCTGCAGGGCACAGGTCTGCTCTCTTGCAAGGGGATCATTGCAAAGTGGATCAAAGTTCCGGTTTGGTCGTTTTGGTGCCGAAATGTTGTTTTGTCCATTCTTTCACACACTCTCGACAGACATCCTCATATTAATCATGTGGCCAGGCATGCATCCTCACTGGAGGGGCAGCTTGTTGCAGAGTACCTCCAGCCCCTTGAAATGCTCAGTGGATAAAAGGCTCAGCTGTTGTCCCCACTTCCCTGGCTGTTCAGGCTGCAGCTTCTTAAGTCCTAGGTGCAAGAAAAAGTTCTCTGACCATACTTCTGGAGCATCTTCTTTATTATTATTTTGTGATTCAGGCTACTTTGTCTTTTGAAATGAAGGGTTGAACGATGAATAGAAAATTGAAAGCATTTTATTTAAATTTAATAATTCCCAAATGTTACAATTTTAGAAGTTAGTACCCTGAGGTTAAATCAGATGCTTGCAAGCCTTGCTGAAGTGTATGCGGGCTGATCTAATCAGCCCATGGTGTTATACGAGTTGTAATGGAAAGAAAGAATCAATGTTAAATAGGTTCTACATTAATATACATTATCTTGTCTAAATATTTATTTTCCATAAAGTATTTGTGATATTGGGAAATTTTTAGTTATGGAAGATTAAAAATACTGGAGGCTGAAGTACTTTGTTAATGCACAAATTGAGGGCTTGATCCTGGAGGACTTAGTCTTGCTAGCTTCAGTGGGGACTCTTCCTATGAATAAGAAGTGTGTACTACTAAGCACAGAGTCTTAATACCATTATGAGAATACAGGCACCTTCTACTTTCTGATCGGTTCCTGTAAAGCAATAGCACTATACTTGTACAGAACAGCTATTTCAACATAAATCATTTTTAAATGCATCTGGTTTATTTTCTGAAGGACGTGTGTGTTTTGGATTTGCCCAGTGACTACATATTCATACAAATGCATAGTAAACAGCCAACTGTCCACTCTATTTACATTTTTGATACTGTGCAAAATGCCTTTCAGCTGGTTGATTTTACTAGACAGCATTATTTTGAGAGAGCATTGTTGGATTCTGGCATGATGCATGGAAATATTCCTGCTACAAATAACGTTTTCAGTGAACTCCACTGCTCCTGCCAAACTGGCAAGTTGAGGGTGAGCCAGACTGCAGCGCCAGGTACTGAAGGAGATGCAGAGAGAGCCCGGGCACTGCACCCTTGTCTTGCTTGGTGTAGGAATCTTCATGGTCATGGTTCTCCCAGCCTGAGCCACACAACACCTGGTGTCAGGTCAGGGATGGCCCATGCAGTAGAGCAGAGGTGTGGAGCCACATAACATCTGATTGTGTGCTCCTGGAAAAGATGCCCTTCTTTCCCTGTTCTGGTTCTTCCTTTCCCTGTCCTCACGGGGTTTGTACCAAAACTTTCTGCAGAATGGAGATTATACCTGTCCTCAGCGGGGATGTAAGCATGTATTATTTAATACATTATTTAACACATTATTTTAACTGTGGTTGTTTTTCCCCATTGGATAAAAACAAATCTAGATAAATAACTATATTGGACAGCTTAATCCAACTCTAAATGCAACAGTGTCCAGGTAGAGCTGCCTGCCATCATGAACATTTTCTGGTAAGTAGAATGTGCATTTGTAAGTAGCTACCTGACAAAGTGATATCCTGTACCACAGTCCGCAGGATATGCTCTTACTTCTGAATCTGTATGATGCTGGTGTCCCGCAGGTGTTTGGCAGGCTCTCTGTCCCAAAATATCTGTACACACAGATGTATGCAGTTCAGTGAAGCATCAGTGCATCGAGGCTCATTTGTGATTCAAAGGAGCTGAGTGGCCAGTCATGTAGATGGGCATGCCTGAAGTGGGGAAAAAGAGGCATATAATATGCAGTCTTGTTTAGTGATCTGAACTCAGACATAGTATTTGCAATGGCATCTCTTTTTGCTGTTATTCTAATTACGAGTTGATGGAAACTTCATAATGAGCTTTCCTAGGAGAAGCAGGCTTTATATAACATTCAACTTTATCCCAAATCAGTCCATGTTCTTTCTGTTGAAAAAAGACCTCATATTGTGCAATGCGCTCTAGGTCATCCTGCTCGGCAGGGGTATTGGACAAGATATCTTCAGAGATCCATTCCAACCTCAGCCATTCTGTGATTTTTAGGCTAATTCCTCACTTACAATCTCTTGGAATATTTCTGGAAAGTAGAAGAAAGATGTGATGCCTGTGTGTTCACACAGAAGTAGCCTCTGAGTAAACAAATCTCATTAGGCCCAGATGAGTTCTGAAAGTATCATTCAGGTGATATTTAAAGCCTATCTGAACTCAAATGCAGCTTTATATGACATTAAGATTTTAGTTAGTGACATTGAAAATGCACCTGTTCTTACAAGCCAAAATGGGAGTGCCTCTCTGTGGGAGGATGGCATTACAAGACTCTGGGCAGGTGACCAGTTCAGGCTAATAACTGATTGCTAAGTATTCAGGAGCAGGGAGAGGGCAGCATCCTTTTGTATTTTCTTTAAAGGAGGTGTTGTCTATAGTCAAATGACATTTCTTTAGACTTGCTGGTAATTCCCAATTTAGATCTAATACTTACTAGATTGGACAATAATAATAATAATTATATATATATACATGTATATATTTGTTTAACTAATTAAGGTTTAAAGTGTCTACAAATTTTTAGGAGTCCTTACATATATTTTACTTATTTACCATTTTCAGCTGTTAGGGTCATATGCAGAGACATGACGTAAATAATTAATCATAAGATTCTATTAATCTATTATTCATTCACTTAAGTGAGGCTTTAGTGTAACGATTTCTTTTGTTATGTTTATGGGAGGGGATCTCTCTTAGGTCTTTTTGCAAACAGTGAAAAATATTTGAAGGACTCACTATAAAAAAAATCTCAGACGTGCCACTAGCTCTTGGCTCTGCTGCTGGGGGAAGGGAGTGCATGTAATAGCCAAAGTAAGCAATTCATTTCATATCCTCTTCTAAAAGGAGTAAGATTGTGTCAGCCCTTTTTGAGAAGCCCTTTTGAAATCCTTCACAATATTACACAGATGTTGTTTCCATACTTAATTCCTGTAAGCAGCAGGGAACTTTAAGAATTAAGAAAAAGGTCTTAATATATTTTCCAAATCCTATACTTTTTTTTTTTTTTTTTTTGTCTCAAACCCTACTCAGAGGCAAATTCTTCTTTGGTAGATATTTGAATATGCAAATCAAATGTTAAATTAAGTAAATTACATAAATGTACTTTTAGACAAGTTATATAGAGTACCTGCAAGAAGGACAAATCAGCATGATGACAAAAGGAGAAAATATATGGTATACAAGGTTGCACACCAGTGCAGTACCCATAACTTGGGTGCTGGTAATCCTGCACTCTCTGAGTGTGAGACGGATGTACAGAGAGCACATACACCTGATGGTGAACTACAGCTTATCCCTGTACCTGTCTGGAAGATCCCTCAGTTCTAGAAACAAAGGCAAAGTGACCTTTATTAATAGCCTGCTCTATTTTCTAAGCAGAAAGAGATCATTTAACTCTTTCAGTTTTCTGGCACGTGCATGAATGAGCTGACTTGCCTTTTGGATAAATCCCCCAAAATGATCAACATGTATTTCTGTTGTTTCAATGCAACGGGAACAACTGGGCAACATGCTGCCTGCAAGTAAGCCATGGGCTTCCTATGTGAACCTGTGGTTTAAGGGAAGCAGGGCAGCTGCCTCTGAAGACTGAGCTCAGCCGCAGTTCAAGCCACTTCTCACTGAAGCTGGATTTGGAGCAGTGTTGCAGGAAAAAATAAAAAATAATAAAAAAATAAGTGATCAATCATATTTTCAGCATGAATGTTACTCACATGCTTCTGGCTATTCTCTCATACTAACACAGCCGTGCTGGCAACTGCTGAGTTACTCTTTGTAGTTTCACCCCTATAAAAATGTTATCAAGATGGAGTTTTGGCTGCAGTGTCTCACAATACCTCCTTCAGCTTGCACCTCCTGTGGGAGAATAAAACCCCAAGCAAACATTAGAAAACCAGGAAGTGCTCAGTTAAGATCTCCCCACAAAACCACACGGTTACCGAGAGCAGCACTGCGCTGCTCAGGTTCATTTTCACTCACAGCTGTGGCCACGTGTTTTCAGTCTGCAAGTGGCTTGCTGGCTGCAGGATCCTCGGGGAGAGCCTGTGTGGGCCAGGGACCTCCTGGCAGCGAGGCTGCAGGCCTGGAGAGGCCACGCTCCGGCTGCAGCCAGCAGTGATCAGGTCAAAAACCGGGGCAGAGCCTGACCCAGAAGTTAATGCATTTCTTTTTATGGGGAAGGCATGACGGGAAAAGACCTGAATGAGCTGGTTGGTGGCAGTTTTGTGTCCAGCAATCGTTAGCTCCACTTATAAAAGGTAAAAGCCTGAGGGCGTTTGGGGGGAAAAGTCCCGTGCTGAGGTCTTGCTCTTTTTGTCCTTGCTTCAAGAGCATGCAAAATTTGTAGAAGAAACAATTAGGGATAGGGTAATATACACCGTATGCAGAAATGTGCATTGAACTCCATCGGGATGTGGACCATAAATATCCTTAAAAGGCAATTCTGCTGTTCAGTTATCTTGTTGGTGCTTTCCTGAAACAGAGCAAAAACAAAGCTGTTGATCCCAACAACTGCACAATGAGAGGACAAAGCACCGCATACTGTTTCTACTCCTGCTTATGCTGCCAGGGATAATGAAGGGCTTTACAAGCAGTTTTGGTCATAGCCACACAATCTCATTTGGTGCCCATAGAGCCCAGCTGGGGCTGAAGGGGCCTGAGGCCTTTGCCAGGTCACCTGGTGGGGCAGCCATGAGGACAAACGCAGAGCCAGCTCTCAGCCTCTTGGTCAGCTGCTGTTAAGGTGATTTCAGATTCTGCTTCCAAAAGTCAGTCCAGCAGCTGGGGCTGGACTCAGGGCATCTAAATCCTGATACCACAGGCTAGGCAAACTGGGAGATAGATAAAATTTCCATCCTGCTGCAGAGGGGTGATGGTTATACAGTATGAATCTGTGGAAATGTTTGTGTCCACTGCCAGTAATGCTGGGAAAGCTCAGACAAACCATTCTTCAAGTAGAGGCAAACGAACGTGCAGATTAGCCACTGGAAGAAGAGCAAGTGAAAAATATTCTCCCTGGCAGGCACATCTGCAGTATAAGCACTGACCTCCCACAGGAAGAAAATAAGGATGTGGTGTGTTCTTCTATCTGCAAAAGTGGTGTATTCTGGTCCTCCACAGTGCTTACACAGTTCAGCACTTCACATTCTTCTGCAGTTCCACAATCTCTTGTACCCAGATCTCTGCTGAGCGTTTCTGTGGGAAAAGCATTGGGCACATATTTCTCTGGGCTATGGTCTTGCTTCTAGGAGCTGCTGCAGACTGCATGAGGAACAGGGCTTTCATGTTTAGCTTACTTTCATCCATTTTAAAATGAAAGCCATTGTGGCTTTCTGCACTTTGTGAATGGGAAAGCATAATCACTTCCTTTCAAAATTATGCAAGCAAACATATTCTGCCTTTAAGACATTGAAAAGAAAACCTCTGCTGTAAGGTATTGATCTCTATTGTAACTGTGTGAATCCAGAGAAAAAGCATTAAAAAGCATCCATATTTGGATTCCTCTATCGGTTGCTGTACAAATAGAGAAACTTCACAGAAGTCCAGCTGTGTTATTTTGGAGTAAAATTGTGGTAATAAGAGAATCAAGTCTGATGGAATGTAAGAAAATGTTTACCACCCTTGTTTACTCCAATAGCAACACATGAGTCAGATTTGTACTGATTATTATACTTCTCACATTGATCAGTCCTTCTTCCTATAAAGTTTCTTGGAAAAACTGTTTTATAAAAAAACAGTTTTATATTGGTGAAGCACACCAATACTGTGGAGTGAGGCACAGATGAAAATTTTAAACTGTGCTTATTGTCACAGATATTCATATCTCTGGCTGAAGCTAATGCTAATTTATTCTTCTTCACAGAGAAGAACTCTATGACCCCAAATTAATTTGTTTTTGTAGCTGCTTTTCCTTTTAAAATGCATTTCAAATCCAAGAAATGCAACACTCCCACATTATCTGAATATGTTTCAGGTCTGTGATTTGCTGTTATGGCTCAGTGTCTCAGTCAAATAACCTACACTGTGACTGTTGTATGGATAGAGAGTGCTTAGGAAGCCGGAGCTGTTACGTTGCTGAGAGAGGGGTCCATCACCATGAAAGTTCACAAATCTCGCTGACTTAATTGGGGCCAGCATCATGGATTGAACGTGAAACCCTGAAACCTGGGCCACAGAAAACTGAGTAGTGCCACTGGAAGTTACAACTAGGGAGTGGAGTAACTTGGAGTTGTGGGTTCAAGAATGGTTTTCTGTGTGTGAACAAGAGTAGCCATTGATTATGACACTGCTTGCCAGTGAATGAAAAAAATACACGATGTTTTGCACCAAAAATGTACTAGTAATACACACAGATACTGGTTAAGTCTTTTGTTACAAATTTAGAAATATTAATGTCATACTAATTATTAGAATGAAAAATAATGGAGAAAATCACATGATTTTTTTTTAAATATTTATTTATTTATTTATTTATTGTGGCAAGATTTTAGAGAGGAAATATTTAATTGTAAACCCACAGCAATTTGTATTGGTATGCTGTGTTATTTTCTGAAGAAGCAATAACTTTTGTACAAATTGACCATGAACACATGATAAAGGAGTTAGCAAAATCATCTCTACTTAAGAAACGTAACTGGCTACGGATGAGGCCCTCTCACCAGGGTAGATGGATTTTCATGATGACAGACTGTGTGGTCTTTTCAAAGTGGCGAAACATTACCAATTCAATATGGGATGTAACCTCAGAACAGCTGGAATTTACTGCAGTGGAGAAAGCCCATGTAAGACACTAAGAAATAGACAATCCAATTTGTATAGTTTATTAGTTCATAAGTAGAGTCTAATGTATATTAAGCTGGTTTTTCATATGCATTAAGGGTTTTTTCTTTCATGTGATTACATCCATGAAAATATTTAGTCTGAAATATATATACAGGCATATCTAATATTTTAGGAATCTTTTGGATCATCTCACATGATCTTGGCTGTTTGCAGCTGAGCTGAAATTGCCAGAAAGCTGTCTGAGCTTGATGCAGCTTGGAAGGAAACTGACCCATTACTAAAGTCAGCAATCCAGAGACTGATAGCCTTTTTCTCTGTTCTATGATTTTTATTTGAGCAAATATGAATTGGAAAGCCATACAAAAGTTAGAGCAGAGAGAGAGAGAGAGAAAGAGAGAGAGGAGAAATAGACATTGAACTCAACCCCCAACCTCAGAATCCAGCAGAACTTAATCAAGTTTGACATTTTCACTGTCAGGTGATTAAAACATTTAACAGAATACCATGCTTGAGATGTGTATACATATACTTAAAGTTATGCGGTGGCTCTATAAAACAAACTTTTCTGTTTCTGTTAAACTTTACAGCAATTTTCTATGAGGACCTGCATTTCTGTCTGCTCTATGTTCGTTGTTTTTTTTTTTTTTTTTTTTTTTTTTGTCCAGTAAATATATGTATGGGTTATAAAACTACTAGTCTATACTAACAGAGAATCCAGTCTGTTTATGGTAGAATTGCCAGGCGGATGGTATGTTTCAGTTCCACAGTAAATCAACTTGATGAAGCAGTAATTGCTTACATCAGTTAGGAACTTGGATTTATGTATTTTATGGTATATTAAGATGGTGACTGCAGCTGTGCAACACTTTCACTTAAAATCAAATCTTCCATCATATGAAATCTTCCTTGTCTTTTCTGTGCTTACTGTTATCTAAACCTAAAACATCATTACCAAAATTTTCATGTCATTCATGTTCCATGTGAGCAAATCTCAGCCCAAATTATTTTGTTAGTCCATACATTTCATGTACTTGTATTTTATATTTACCGTTTGCTTTGAAAACTATCAGTACCTGAACCTACATGGCTTCATAGGGCTGGCCTATCAGGCAAAGAAAATTGGTGGTAGAGATTGCTTCAGCTATAAGGAGCTGGGAGGCTTTCTGCTCATCTCAGGATTTTGCAAACCACAAACCAACTACAGTAAAGGAGGAGCAGATCCTTTGTGCTGCTAGTGGTGGATAGCATGCTCCATCAGTGGCACAACACGTTGCCAGCGGTCAGAACTGGACTTTCTGCTCTGTCCAGAGGCTGTGCTCCAGCGTGGAAGGATGGACGTTTGGTGCAGCTCTCATTGCTGGAAAAACTTGGTCATAGCCCACAGAGTCTGGCTGGGAAGCTGCCCCTCATCTGAGACATCCCTTCTCTATTTCCCTTTTGTAAAAGGATCAGGTTGGCCAACGTCTCAACATAAATCAGAAGTCAGCTCAGACAATAACCTACACAGTCCTACTGCCTGATTTATTTCCCTCTACTACACGTGAGTTACTTAGCAGAAGCAGGAACTACTTTTTCATTTTGTCCCATCTGACCAAAATTTAAATTATGCGCTGCTAGTGCATGTGCTTGTAAGCATTAACAGCTGAAATTCAATCTAAGCTAGTTTTGATCTTGCAGGTCACATTCATTCCTCTCTTGAATGGATGAGGATACCTGTTTGGAATAAACTTCTGGAGCCAGCACCCATATTTCCAAATTAAAAATTCATTTCCCATATATATTCTCTAATACTTGCTTAAAATTTGCTGTTTCTACAAACGTTCTTGCCAGAAAATGCAATAGCTAGAACATGCACAGTAAGCAAACACAAAGAGGGCATTGAAACAGTTGAAGAGAATATGTTTATAAACTGAAATGAATATTCATTGGAAACTTTTTTAACAGTGCTCACCAGTTCTATATTGGAATACTGTGTAAAGTTTACACTCCATATAAAGAGTTGCACTGTTCCCTTGTGAAATCCGTCTTCTCTACTACCTCCATATTGGATATTTGCATTTTTAGAAATACCATCTGCCAAGCCCCACACAGACTGCAAGTGATTTCCTGGTTATATATTTTGGATATTCTGTGGTTAGAAAACTATGGAGCCATATTACATGTCCTATCCTCCAGAACATCTGTGAGACTAAAACCACATGAATGTAAGCAAGTCAGCATGATAAAAATGATGAAGAATTTCAGTTATATTGTATAGAAATGCAATTTTTTATTTATTTATTTTTAAATTTATCTCTGTATATAAGCTGCTTTCTTCTTGCATGTACAAATAGCTCCTTATTTATTTATTTATTGCCTAGCACTGGACCAAAACAGGTTCAAAACTCCTCTCCCCTGACTCTTCTTCACTGTCTATTTTCTCTCCCCACCCCAGGACTTTCTGGCAGCATCATCAAAGGAA